ATCATAATATGAAATTCCTTATAATAGAATTAAAAAAAAAAAATACATTTGAAATGTAATTGTAATTGTGATGCACATAAGTGCATTTACCCAGCTCTACTAATAACAAATGAAAAAATAAAAAATAACCGTAATTTTCTGTTGAAAAAATCAAACAATCAAATTTTGCTTTTCATATTCGTTTAAAAAATGCAAAAATTTCAGGTTTTCGTGCGTTAAAAGTCAAAGTTCTTAATCCTCAAATGTGAAATAATTGTGGCAGCACCTTTGAAAGAGCGATATTTACTATGGTTTTTCCCTAAGTAGTTACAGAGCGAAGCACGGAAAAGTAAGAAGAAAGGAAGAAAGCCTTCTTATTTTTAGTGGTATTATTTTTTTAATGAAATCAAAAAGCAATTCTCTCGATTTTTAATAGGCTACATAATAAGAAGCTTAAATTAAATAATTAAAAACAAAAATCAGCGCTGACCTGTCGTCGAACACGGGACCTACTGAATAGCAGTTTACAGTTCTAATTACTGGGCTACGGTGGTCACCATAACGACACTAAATATTTTATTTAATGATATGAGTTTAAAATGAATCAATCAAGCAATCAAGCATATTCTGACTATGATTTTTTTTAAAGATACTCCTGTTATTTAATAAAATCAATACCAATTTTCAAACAATAACAATAAGGAATCTTTATGGAATTTTCTTTTTTTTCATTCACAGAGAAAATCTTTTTATTTCTATGAACCATTTTTTTCTGCGCGTCTTTTTTATTTTAAAATCGAAAAATACCTTTTAAAAACTATTGAATACAAATCATCGCTATGATCAGACTCCACTGATGGCGCTACTGTTCCCCCTTCAAATTCTCCATGATCTGGATTTTCGAGCAAATGCTTACTCATTTCTAATGGAACTTGATGACAGCGCTCTGTTCATTGGATTTGGTGGATAGCTGCTTGTTGTAAATAATGTATCTGAAATTTTTTGATTCTAGCATTTTTATACAGAAACATCGTAGTTACTATAATGTTTCTCAAAAAAGCCTTATTTGATTGCAAGATACTTAAAAAAATGATTGTTGACAAGGGTATATTTTTGATAAGGTGTACACAAAAATAGGAAAGCCGCTATAAAGATTTTATCTGAGAATACCGCTGGTGAAATTTTTCGGCGAATAATTTCCTAAAACATTTTAACACTCTACCGATCTCCTGAACGACATTTTATTTCGACTTTCAAAAAGAAGGGTCAAAATGAGAGAGCTAATGGGTTAAAATGAGAGAGCTAATGGGTTAAAATGTTGTACAAAATTATTCCTCGTGAAATTTTACTATACATACCCTAACTGCATATTTCGCTCCATATATATGTTAACCCTTTTTCCCCTCATTCTAGAAACACTCGAAGCAAAAAATTGCAAACTTAAATGGCCATTTTACCTTAGACTGCAAAAATATTTGGAGGCTTTACTATATGTATCTACGTCTTTCATCTTGAGTTGGAATCATTCCGCCCACAAAAATGCTGTTGCACTATGTTATAGACAAGCTGGAGGTTTCAATTTCGAAAAACAAAAAAATTTGCGTTAAAGCCACAAAACCGTTGCAAATCATACACTGTGGCGCATCCTTATTTTATAAGCTCTTCGATGGGCCACTTTGTAGGCGTTTGGTCTATGACCTACCGCACAGACAAAGCAAAAAAAGTATATTTTAAGAAGATTTTATTATGTTGCCCGTATTAGTTTCTGCCATATTTTACGAGCTACTAAGCCCGTCAAACCCGCATATATATTTACATATATTTATATGTATGTAGATGTGTAATATATGTGCTATATTATACATATATACCCACATACATATACATGTGTCTACATAAAAATGGAAAAGGTAGACAAGTGCTTACGCTAGTTGTGCAAAGGCGGTCATTGACGGTAAATCGCCAACTGACATTTGGCATGCCTACCGGTTCCGATAACAATAATCAGAGTGCTTGTGTGCACACAGCGCAAACACCAGCTGGCATAAGCAAGGAGCAACATGGGGCTTGGCAGGAAACACAATTGAGCTAAGGAGATTTGTGCTTAGATTCACGCAGTGCCACCGTAAGCCGTAGAATAAAAATGCACATTTATGTAAGCTGACGACGATTCGTATGTACATTTGTGTTTTGAACTATGAGTAGCATCAATTTGTTCGTACGCTATAGAAATGCTGCCATGTATGTAAGTACATGTGCGTAGGACGAAAGTCTTCTACTTGCAAGCATACGTACTTACATTTATTATAGCATTGATATGCGATAAGAATTATCTATGAATTCCTACATTATTCGGCATTTAGTCTAAGTGCAATTTAATTTATTTTGTTTCTGTTTGAAATCTTCTTGATTTGACGCGTTACTTACTTTTAAGGCAATACAGTGAAGCACAAAAATGTGCAGGTGAAAAAAGGAAGCAAATTAATTAACTTATAGGAATCAGTTACCAAAAACAAAATGCTGATTTTTTACTGAAAATAGCTTTGTAAAGCCCTCAATTGCAAAACTCTCTTTTTTATAGTAGTTAGTTTAACTGGTTTAAAAAGCTTTTTCTCTAACAACTTTCATTAAGTATTTTACATACAGAAGCATGCTTGTGGCTGCTTAGGACTCTTCTAAATATGTAGCTTAGGCCATCCAAAACAAGGTCCTTAATAGGATTTTCGATCGTGCTAAAACCGGGTTTCGACTTATTCGAAATATAGCATTTTAAAAAAAAACTGTTCCCTATTTTCAAATTAAGAAAAACTCGAATAAACCAGTTTTATTTTACATATGACCAAACATAAAATATGACTGCTAAAAATAGGTGTAGCTTTAATTTAGAAACCAATAAATCTAAGTAACTTAGAAGTATTTTGGATTACAAGTAAAATAGAAAAAAAATTGTGAAAAATTCACACTTAATGGGATTCACCGATCTTGAAAAGATTAGATCGCTAAAGCAACAGCCTTTTTTGTCGGGAAACACTCGAGCATAAGGAATCGAATGTCTTGGAAATGAGAATACACCATTCGCTGAACCATACCGGCCAATTAAGATAGACTATTCTAGATAGGAAAACAATCAACACCTTCGACAACTCTCACCCCTTGAATCCCATCATCGGAGACCAACGCTATCTAACGCAGGCGAAAAACTCGAGTTGCTGCGTGAGGCTCGCGATACTTGGACACAACTCCATTCTGGATATTGTAGTACTAACTTATATTACCATAGCCACTCACATTAGCTCATCTAAAACCCCTCCCCCTACGACCCAAACCCGTCCGATATTGTATTTTCTCCCAACCTGCCGTTAGATGAGAATGAAGACAATACGTAGTCGATTCACTGAATTGGGCAAAGTTTATTCCTTAAGTAATTTTTTGCGTGGTTATTGTCCGATTTTGCCCATTTTCAATACCATCCGTCCTACGCCCGAAAGAAGTACATATACCAAAATTTCGTTAAGATGTCTTGATTTTTCCTCGAGCTATCGTGTGCACAGACGGACGGACGGACAGACAGTCACCGCTTAATTGATTTCTCTTTTCATTCTGATCATTTATGTATACATTTGTCTATATCTATCCCGATTCGTTTTGGCTGTTACAAACAACCGTTATGTGAACAAAGTTATAATACCCTTGTGCACAAGTGCGCTCGGGTATAAAAATATCAAAAATATAAAAGCTCAAAGCCTCAAATATCTACCATCAAGCCTAGTGTAATCAAGAGAATATGCCAAAGCATCTGTGTCCTCCATAAAAGAGCTCTTATCTTTCTGATTGTTTATTTTGACAGTTTTCCTACTTTTGCGGTTACTTGTCAATTGAAGTTTCATTTCCATTGTTCACTTCACATTGCGCTTTTCTTACAATACTGTCCATGTATGTATGTACGTATGTATGTATATATGTTTGCATGTCAGGCCATATTTATGTGTCTATTATAGGGCCGTATCGACTGCCATTTGGTACAAATATCGTAAAAATACTGTACGTGCGATGTGCACATTTCACAAATTGCTGTATATAAATTCCTTAATTTGCATATGCGTGCATACTTGTGTGCATAGATATGTATGTATGTAGTAAACTCAAAAATTGCAATGGGAGAGAGAGAATAGGTATGCAGTGTAACTTTTGCGCTAACTTATGTACGTATATATGTAGAAATGTATGTACGCGCAAATAAACTATGTAGTGTGTTTTTAAAATTTTTACAAATGAAAGCATACTAGTATAATCGAAACTTACTAGCAGCTACACTAGTGGAAAAATTGTATAATCAAATGAAAACGTATTCAAAAGTGCTGTATAATGGAAATATTAAGTTCAAGTTTACGTGAAGTGCAAAATGCTTCATTTTGGTATGGGCGTATTTCAATTGAATATTACTATTATTGAACATACTACTTTTGAACACGTTTTCATTTGATTTAAATACGTTTTTATTTGATTTAAAAAATTTTTTCCCTCTCAGTGTGTAGTCAGATGTGAGCTAAATTTTGGTATGATATAATATTTAAATACGAAAATTTTTAAACGACAATCAAATAACAAACATTAATTTTTACTATGCGTTAATTCCCTCAGTGTACACACACAATTTTTTTTTTTGTATTCTAGTGAGACGCACGTTTCGTAGTGGGTGGATATGTATACGTGCACGAGCATATGTTTGCTTTGGAAATTTGATAGATTAAATTTTGAGATTTGATAAGGGTATTAGGACGCATGAAAAGAGCGATAAACTTGGCTGCAGCTGCTCATAAATAAATTTTTATATATTTTTAATTTATTATTGATACTAATGTACCGAAAAAGGGAAGGTTAGTGTAGAAGTACTTAAAACTATTTATTAAACACTTAACAAAATACTATTTATTAAAACGTTAAGGACTTAAATGAAATTGATTTGAGTAGCGGCAAGTTTTTATAATCTTATATCGATTTTTTTTTTTGTTCAATTTCAGGCGATATTTTCATCCTAGTCTTTAGCATGGATTCACGTGAGTCCTTCGAAGAAGTAGTGCGATTACGTGAAAATATACTCGAAACTAAATGGACAGCGCTTAATCCTGGATCGGGAATGAAGAAGAAAAGTTTGCCAAAAATACCAATGGTTATAGCTGGAAATAAATGTGATCGTGAACCCAAGTAAGATTAAGTGGCGGCTTTGAAGGATCTTTTACTTTTTTTTAATTTTGTTTTTATTTCATCCTGTCCATGCTTCTCATCAACAGAAAAGTTCAACTCGACGAGGTGATGGGCTATATTGCCGGCCAGGATAATTGTTGCGTCTTCGTCGAATGTTCGGCGCGACAAAATTTCCGCATCGATGATCTCTTCTATGCTTTGTTTATGGTTTCGAGTTTACCATTGGAAATGGCACCGAATCATCATCGACGCGTAGTGTCCGTATTCGGAGCGCCATCGCCATTGCCACCACACACGACTGCGGGTGGATCGAAAAAGAATGCACTCTCTATAAAGCGACGTTTCAGTGATGCCTGCGGAGTGGTAGCACCGAATGCGCGTCGACCCAGCATACGTACCGATCTAAATTTGATGCGTTCGAAGACGATGGCCATGAATGAGGGTGATGGAGCGGGTGTGGCGCGTAGAAATTATTGCGTATTAATGTAAATGGCGATAGTAGTTATATGTACATACATACATACATATGTATGTATATTTGAGCGATGATTTCAGTATGTGATACAAATCGTAGAGCGTTCTAGTTAAACTCAAGCACATATTTAAGTATACATACATATACATAAATACAATACTAATATATAAATGAATACATATGTATTTATATGTAAGCCAACATATTAATAGCTATTTATAAATTAATACTTGTACATACATATAATGTATGTACATACATACACACACATTTGTTTAGACTAAGATGTTTGGATATTTCAATAGTGGTGAATCATCACTTGTAAGGTTTTCAAAATTAGCGAAGAAGTTTTTGAAAGTATTTAATACTTTCCTAGAATATTTACAAACTAACTATTTCTCAAATTAACTACCAATACATATAAAAATAATATCAAAAAATATTTAATATCTTAGCTTAAATCAAAATAACCAAGTAACTAACTATTTTAATCAGACACCGAAAATAACCGTCAAATATCACGATTGGTATGCTTAGATCAAAGCAAAATCGTTAATTTTTAGCTTTTTATTTTTACTTCTTCTTTATTTTTTTTCGGAAAAATTTAATCCTTTTTTTTTTTGTGATTTTTATTTCTTCGTTCAAAAATAATCGTTATTTTGGATTTCTTTTCGACCATTTTTCAATTCAAATACAGTTTATTATCGTACAAGAACCGTATAAACGCAAGTTTCAAAATTTGTAAAAATTTTTTAAAATATAACGCAATTTTTTTATATGGTAAAAAAATTGTCAAAGAACAACGGTAATTTGTAGTTACTTCAAACTTGAAGATTATTTTTCAGTATGCTACGGAACTGCACACTAAAAAAAACTCAAAAACTTAAAAAAAATTAAAATTTTTTATAATTTTTATTTTTACCTTACTACAAAGTCTGAAACTTATATTTGTGTATGTATATGGCTTTAAATTCAATAACAATGGAAGTTACTAAAAGAAAAATTATGCAGAAAAAAACGAAAAAGCATTACCCCTATTCAAGTGCACCGATTATTCTTAATCGAAAAACGGTTAAATTTGATCGGAAAAATTAAAATCCATTTTGAACGGTTGAATTAAGATTTTTATTATAAAGATCGTAACCGTTATGGTATCTGATATAAATAAAGGCTTCTGCCAATTTTTGTTATTCTTTTAAATATGTATATTTTCTCTTAATCATACATACATATCTCTATTAACTTAATCTGACCAAAATCTCCTGTAATCTCTTAGAAAGTTACTCTTAGTGAATAATTTAAAGTAGGTAATGATGCGCGCAAAAATTTAAAATCCTTAAAATTTTTTCTAAAGTATATTTTATTAGAAATGTTACTCTTTTTATTATATCAACTGAGTTGTACCGAGCCCTACAAAGGAATTGAAATTGCATGAAGTTTATTATAAACTTATTGAAAAGTTAAAATAAACATTTGATAATTCTCTTAATTGCATACAAAATTTTAAAATGCGACTTCGTCTTTTCACCAAAATCGTAACTTCTTAATTATTTTTTATTTATATTATTGAATTTGAGTCCGTTTTCTATGAAAAATTATTGCGGAAAAAACAAAAAAAGTTTTATAAATGGTAGAAGTTATAGCTGCTATTTCGGAGATCACCACATCTCCTCCTCAGACTTCTGCATCGAGTTTTTTTTTATTTATGCAAACAATAGTATTCCAGGGTCTTCTGCAAATCGATCAATTGTTTCAGTGATGATTTCACTTTAGTTTTTTCTATAAAACGTCTATGATTGTTAAGCATACAAAAACTTAAAGTAAAAGTGAAAACTATGTAGAAAATATTATTATTATTATTATTATTTTAAAATTTTTTTTAGGTAAATGAGCTATATGACTGAGTAAAAATCATAAAATTTTCTGTTAGAATTTATTTATTTTTTGGTCCTGTATACAGTGTGATTCTCCTTTGCACTTTGCTTTTTTTTGGGGCTAGTTGAGAAGCCAATTACTTTTGCAGTGGTGCCACGCAAGGAGCAAATAAATGTGATTCCAAGTGTCGCTATGTTCTCTGAGTGCAAGAATGCGAGTTTAGTGGCGAATCAGTAGCCTATCCGTTGCATTCGCAGTTTTTTAGTGTCAAGCTTTCTGTAGAGGTATGTACGGTTTTTATCTGCATGAAGTATGTATGTGCTTAGGTGCTTGATATCTCTTTTAGACCGAGCCGTCCAGTCGGCAGCAAACCCTCGCCACACGAACAAAGTAAAAAGATAAGTATGGTTTCCGAACTTGGTAGCAAAAATTGGTATTTTAGCTTAGCTTCTTCGCCATATAATTTACACGTAAATTATTAATTTAAAACTCATCGAAACTTCTTTTATGACGCATGTCTCAGTTAAACTTGCATTAATTATAAACGCAGAATACATGAAAAGATGTTCTTGGAGAAAAAAAGTTATGATAAATAAGGCGATTCATTCACAATGTGTGATAACAGTCCTATTGTCAAAATTACATATATTTTGTAACGGTGAAAATGACTCCTTATTACTACTTGTGAGCCCCCTGAATGTAATAACAGTGCTTACATATACATATGTATATTATTTTTAAACAAGTACACCGTATATCTGTAGTTCCAAAACAGCTATAGATTATTGTACTACCTTAACAAAAAAATCTATAATATAATATTTACAAAAAAAAGTAACCAATTCCATATCTACACAAACCCACCAAATATTTACATACAAATATATACCTAAATATACCTATAATCTCAAATTAAATATTAAATTCCTCTCAGTTCTAAATGTGGTTTCACACCAAACAAAAAATACAAAGATCTTTAACAAATTATACAAAATAATCACTTAATCTATGCACACACAAAAATATGATTAATACTTACCTACCGATATACATACATAAATACATACTACATATGTACATATGGCTATATAATAACATTTGTCAAATAACTCAATGAATGGCTTTAAACATATTCAAATACATACATACATACTCACAAAACGTATGCAACAATATTATCAATATATATAAAATAACATGAAATGCGAAATGCGTTTAAGAGATTAAATGAAAATTTGTTAAATTATTCAAATTCAAAGTGATCAATAAGTTTAAGCTCGAATTTTATAATTAATAAGTTATTATGTACTTACTTAGATTTAATTAACATAT